TTTGAAGACGACTAGAACAGAACTTGAAAGTGCCCTTGAGTCAAAAGAGAAGACTATCGCTGACTTGCTGTCGACGTCGGAGATGCTAGAGGCTTCATCAGAGGAAGTGAAAGAGCTTAAATCTCTGCAATTGAAAGCAGCGGACGAAACAGAGAGGGTTGTGGCTGAACTAAGATCTCAACGAGATGAAGCCCTCTCTGATGTTCACCAGCTGAGGGCGGAATTAGAGGCGAAATCTAGGGCACTCGCAAGTATTACGTTGTGCGTTGAAAAGCTGGAGAGAAAGCAAAAAGACGCACAGGGGCAAATCTCTATGCTCGAAGGTGAAAACGAAGATTACCTATCATCAATTCAGTCATTGGAAACGAAGTGCAAGCGATTTGGTGACAATCTATCGCGAACGGAAGCCAAGCTGAGCGGTGCGACTGTGCGGTTTGAAAAATGCTCAGCTGCGCTTGATCGGCAGACGAAGGCCCTGGAAGACACGAGCACAGAACTGAAGCAGAGCAAGGAGAAGTGCCGAAGCGTAGAAGAACAGGAGTTGAAGTTGACAAAGCAAGTGGATAATCTACGTGAAGAGCTGGATAGATCGGTGAAGGCAAGAGAAGCGGTTGAGCGAGACAACGAAGATCTGAAAGCATGGGTTGCTGATCTAGAGCGACAAGCGACAGATCTTCATCGGGCAGCGGAAGACTTTTCAGATGTTGAGGAAAGCCTAAGGCAGACAATGGATTCGCTTCGGCAAGTAGCAGAGCAGAACGCAGGGTTAACTGAGGATCTGAAGAAGGAGCGGGAAGTGGTGGCGAATTTAGAAGCTCAGTTGCGAGGCGCGGTCCGAGAGAGGAATGCAGCGGAAGGGGCTCGGGATGCTTCAAAACGGCGAACTAGTAACCTGGAGAGCAGATTACGTAAGATTCGAGAAGACCATGTTAACCGGGTGAGCAACTCGGAGGCGGGAATGCGTGGTATGGTTGAGAGATGTGTTGAATTGGAGACAAAACTTGCAGCAGCGGAGCGAGAATTGGCAGAGGTGGCAAGTGTTTCTGACACGCTGTTCGGAGTGCAAGCAGAACTAGGGCAGAAGGAAGAGGACATGAAGAGCGTAAGGGAAAGAGCATCGGTGGCAGAAGAGAGGGCGGAAGACCTCGAAAGTAAGGTGCAACGACTTGAAGCGGAACTGGCAGAGGGTCGTGAAAATGGAAGCGGGGAGGCTTACCGGGTTCTCGAAGCTGAGCACAACGAATTGCTGGTTTGCTTGGCGGAGATGGAATATGAATGCACAACGCTTAAGGAAGAGTTGGGACGGGATTGAGGAGGGGAATAAGGATGCGCTGGTGTGTCGAAAAAATTTTAAGGCTCAAGCAAGGAGATGTAGAAAGTGGCTGTATTTTTGTGTTGGGAAGTGGTGTAGACGGGAAAGGGCAGGCTGTTGGAGTCTTTGGTTGACACAGTTGGCGATAATGTACATAAGTGCACTGATTGTCAGTATTGGCGCGGTGACACGACTAAAACAAACTAATGGATGATTTACAAGCAAACAGGTTAGGACTTGGTTTAGGTAGTGCTACATTGTGTTGTTTTAGCTATCGGCTAACTGTCATCTCCGGCACGGACATAACTGACGGAGGCCTGAACGTCATGTGCATTTGTAGAAAAGCTTCTGAGCTGAACCATCTCCCTATCCTCAATAACACTCGGCGAGCTCTCCTCCCACTCGACGGGCGTTGGGGTATCCTTATCGGTATAAATGAGCATATCGAACGAGCAGCGATCCTCCAGGAGCGGCAGAAAAGTGACACTGGCGGTGATCTGCCTCACGAGGGCGCGAATCTCGGCGACGACCTGCTCCTCGCTCTTGTCCTCCTCGGGGTGGCCCTGCTGCGGCGCGTGGACGTCGACGTCGAAGGCCCAGCGCTCGACGACCTTGCGCGTGGCGACGTTTGCGAAGACGACGACGACGCGGCGCAGGCGGCGGCTGGCCAGCCAGCGCTCCATCTGGGCCAGCACGGCGCGCAGGTAGCGCTGCACCGCCGCGTCCGTCGACACGAGCATCGTGAGCCCGTACTTGGACACGCGCGAGAAGCTCTCCGGCGCGTAGATGCCGCGCTGGAACAGCAGCGTGTTCACGCCGTACGTGAAGAACTCCGACACCAGCGACGCGGACCCCGACAACTTGACCGAGTGAGTGGAGGCGCCGGCGCTCGCCATTTTCGCGACGGGGGGGGGGGGAGGCGGCTAGTTTTTCGCATACAATAAACTCGGCTGCGGCCACAAATTTTCCAAGCCTCACAGGCATTCTAATTGTGCCGAGAGTCCGGAGTGGCCTATTGTTCGCGTCGCCGATATCTTGGGTCGGTCCGTGGGACACTAGAGATTCCATT